TCGTTATTGTGCCATCCAAAGGAGCTACAAGAGCGTTCGAAAAGTTTTGCAGTTGGTATTACGTTAATCGTTCAATGCGCTGCTTTTGATTTTGGCCTGCTAAGTGCCCATAATTATTTCGCTGTCCGTTCTTTTAATGAAGTTGCACGTTCCATTGCTTATCTCAAAATTCAAAAATCAGAGACTCCATTTTTTGAAGCAGCCTCTTATTTTATTTCTACAGATTTACCTAAGTGATGCGCACTGCGATTTACTTCAATAGTACCTGCATTCTTGATTTAGCATCGTCGCTGATACTGTCGATCAATGATCCTATTGGGTTTTCCTGCCTGAGCTGGTTTTTTATTGCTGTTGCTTTAGTTTGTATTGTTTATAGGTGTGACAACAGTTTGTTGATACCTTATTTAGCAAATGTTCAATGCTGTACTTTTTTGCTACTTTTATTACCGGTATAATGGTATAAGCAAATCGTTGTCGCCAAAAGCGTACGAAAATAACGAAACTTTCCGATTGCCAATGGGTTGCCATCGTCTTATTAACTGTACAATTTTTCCTGCAGTAGATGGATTGAACGCGATGGTGGAAGTGGTATGCTGCGCGTTACAAAATTTTCAATTTTCAAGTACACACGCGCAGCTGTGTACCTTGATTCGTTTTCTCTCTTTTCGAGAAATCGCTTTGAATCAAGTTCTTTCACGCTAGACTTCCATGCCTTGATTGGCCCTGAGTGGTTGGTTTGCTTGCTGCCCACCGTTTGCACCTTATTTCTCCCACTCGCGTTGGCATGTAGTAGCTTGCAATAATTGTTTTCCTATTTCTGTTTTTTACAGCAGATGCCCTTCTTTCAGATGGGTGACTTAGAGTAGTGCCTTAAGGATCCGAAAATTAAAATTCTTCGGTCACTACTGGTGCGCCCTAAGGGGGGCAAAGCGCTTTACAGTGACACTTATGAACCTTGTTTGACTTATGATCGCTATTTTTCAGTGTTGTTGTTTTGCATCCGTACATTTTTTACTTTGAATGGGAACTAGCAGCAAGCAGCTTGTCGTCGAGCTGGAGAAGCTTTTCGTTTTAGCGAAGCATGTACGTGTTGAAATTATCAGCCTAATTTCGTACATTAGTTATTAGCTGCTTTTACAGGTAAGCGAACTTTGCGCACTTGATCCAGCGTTAGAAAATGTACAACGTACAGCGGTAGAGTTGTTTGAAAAGTGCGCCGAGAAGGTATATAAGATATGCAATGACACTGTACAGGAAGGCCCAGTTTCTACGGGGTAAGTTGCATAGAATCCTTATTATGTATACAGCTTTGGTTTTCTAGTTTCGGTGAAAACGAGGAAGGCGCGTCTGACGTGGTGAGGATATTCTTGCAATAATGATTATCTTTGTCATCATTAGAGCTTGTAAAATAAAACAGTTTAAGCTT